CGCTGTCGACGTGGTGGACGGCCGCGCAGTCCGCGATACGCGACGCGCGCGGCGACGGCGACGGCGGCGGCGACGGCGTCGGCGTCGCGCTCGGCGGCCTCGACGCGCCGCCGTTCGTCCTCGAGAGTAAGAGCGCGGCGTTCACCGCGAAGCTATTGGACGCGGCGGCCGCGCTCGAGCCGTCGTTGGACGCGACCAGAGACGTCATCCCGACCTCCGCGCAGGCGCGTCGAGTCGTCGTTTTGTCTCCGCGTAGTCGCGACGCGACGCGTCGCTCGTCGTTCCCGTTCCTCGTTCCCTCGTTCAACACGTAACGCCGTTCGACTGACCGTTACTGTATCATCATCATCGAATCGCGTCGTTCGCAGACGGCGTTGTGCGACGGCGACTTTCTGCGCGGCGTCGACGGCGGCGGGTACGACTCGACCGAAGTCGACGCCGCGTACGCCGCGGCGTGGAACGCCACCGCATCCCCCGGTGGCCTCCACCGCGACGGAGCCATTCCCGCCGGGTGCCTCGTCGGCTGCGTCGTCGGCGACGGCGTCTTAGAGACGATCGCGCGCGCGTACGGGTTCACGCGAACGTTTCGCACGTCGTCGTGGGCGGGGAAATGTTTCGAAGACGCGCCGGCGGCGCAACCGGAGGGCGACTCGAACGTCCCGGACTTTTCGTCGACGTGGCAGCCCGGGAACGCGGTCACGAACCGCATCCGCGTCGACTACGGGTTCTTCATCAACCGCTTGTTTGGACTCACGGAGCCGCTGAACTTGTTCCCAGGCAAGGCGTACGAGGGCGCGTCGATTTTCGCGCCGAACGAGACATCGATCGTCGTGGACTACGCCGATCACGACCACGAGTTCGCGTCGTTTCGAGACGAGATTCGCGAGATTTACCCGGGTACGTACCTCGGGAAGATGTACGCGCTGCCGGGCACGAGCGTGTTGGGCGGCGTCCTCACCGTGCCGGAGGGCGAGCCGGTGTTCGCGATCAACTTCATCTTGTTCGGCGCGCCGGGAATGCGCGTCGTCGAGTTGGTCGGCGAAAACGCCGCGCCCGCGTGACGCTTCTCGCCTGTTCGATCTACGAGAACGATACCTCGCTACGCCGTGTGATATCAAGGCTACTTTGCGATTGAACGACGTGTTGTGATATACCTTAAATAAATGAATGATACTGTATGCCGTGACTACGTTCCCTCACCTCGCCTCGTCGCTCGCGCGTCGTCAATTCACGCGGCGACGACTTCTTCCCCGATCCCCGCGAATTCGAACAACGCGTCTCGCATCACCTCCGGCTGCTCCAAGTGCGCGACGTGCCCGCACTTCTCCACCCACAGCAACTTCGAGTTCGGAACCTCCTCCGCGAACCGCGTCGCGTACGCGGGGTCCAGAATCTTATCCTCGCGCCCCCACATCACGAGCGTCGGCTGGGTTATCGCGGACACGCGCTTCGCCACCTTGTACCCGTCGCTCTTCATGAACGACAACGTCGCGTCCGCCCACTGCGGCTGAAACGTGTGCAACTGCCCGACCCGCATCGCGTCCTCGGTCGCGAACGTCGCCTTGTCGCAGTACGCCATCTGGTTCGCGGTGTTCCGAAGGATTCGCGTCTTCAGCACGTTCACGCCCGCGAGCGCGATCGGTCGAGGCATCAGACCCATCGGCCCCAAGCCTTCGATGAACCCTTGCGCGTCCACGAGAACCAGACGCTCGACGCACTCCGGGTGCGCCGTCGCGAAGTCGATCGCGGCGGCGCCGCCTAACGACGCCCCGACGAGCGTTATAGGCCTCCCGATCTCTTGCTTCCAGAACGCGTGCAAGTGCGCGCGCTTCGCCTCCGGGGAGTAATCCCCGATCCCGCCGTCGTCGGCGTCGGTGAATCCCCACCCGAGGAGATCCAACGCCCACGTCTCCGCGCGTCGCTCGAGCAGCGGGAACAGCCGGCGGTACTCGAGGCAGCTGCTGTCGAAGCCGTGCAGGAGGACGAACGGCGCGTTGCCTTCTCCGCCCTCGGGGGCGGGCGCGCCGACGCACGACGTCATGATCGCGCGCGCGCCGCGGCCGGCGACGTCGGCGACCGGGACCTGTCGGCACCGCTTCGCCATCGCGACCGCGGCGGGCTCCTCCAGCGCGGTCACCTCGGGCGGGAAGAAGCTCGCGAAGTCGT